AGATTGCATGATTGATACTTGAAAATCTGCAGAGAGTCTGGGGGGAGGAGTACTTTGTATGTGAGAGTTAAAAAGGAGCATGACCTCGTTGGAATTGATCTGTTGCCTGTTCCATTTGAGGAGTTCTTTCAGTTTTTCAATCAATTGACCCTCGATAAAGCAACGGTCACAGGCTACTGTCTGTAAGTAGTACTACTTCTGTCATTAAGTCTCTCTATATAGCTCAGCTCTTTCATTGCATGTATTTATAATTATCCTCACTATATTATGTAGATTGAAGATCGTCGAATTGAAGAAAAGACAAATCTGTGATATTGGGTTCATTAACACAAATATCATAAATGCAACTCAGGTTAAATTTCATGCCGCAGATACCGAGGCCAACTTGCTACGATCGTTGGTAATAAATGAAAACAAAGATATAATACTCTTTCCTGACAACTTCAAGTGAGTGTTACTGTCTTGTGCATATTTGGTTTGCCTTATATATTAGTCAAGGTTATAGTAATGTAATTGATGAGTTATGCATGCGTGTGCAGTTTTCACTATATTCTTATAGAGATTAAGCTTGAGCAGGGACTAGTAACCGTCTTAGACTCAAGACGAAAAGATCCGCAGGACTATGCGGACATGACTCAAATGCTCGAGAAGTAAGTTAAATCGATCATTATCCACCATATCAGCAACTTTGTTCATTTCCTGATATATCAAGTAATTGTTTTCTTTGTCTGGCAGGGTTTGGAAAAAATTCACCAAAAAAGCTCCGGGACTCCCGAAGAAGCTACAATTTAGACACCCGAAAGTAAGTACTATAGTAGCATGTTCCGCGCATCTCCTATTGATTCAAGCGCTAGTTTCATCAATACCATTTGGCATTCTTGCTTATCAGTTTGATTGACCTCTATTTCTTGTAAAGTGGTTGTGGCAGGAACAAGGGAATGATTTCTGTGGATACTACGTTTGCGAGTCCATCCGCCACACGACCTGTGAGCGGGGCTACTCTGACGAACAATATGAAGTGCGTAAATAACAACATTCACAATTTTATTTTATTACCATAATTTGTGTGGAGTTTCATTCATTTATATATATATATGTATTGACCCCCTTCTTCAAATTAGATGTTTCGGAAGCGAGATGAACTCCTAGCACCAGCTCGCATACGAGCAATTCAAGAGGAATTTGCGGTATTCTTTCTTGACCACGTGATCGCTGAAGACGGAGAATACTATGTGGACCATGACTCCGTATGTTAGGAGATTATATTTGTAAGAGATAATTATTGTATACATGTAGCCTGTAGTGTCGGATAGATATACGAGAACTTGTTGTTCGACCAATCTCTCGGAGAAGGAGAGGTGGTCGATATCACTTCCCTCTGTATGCATATATGTTCACGACGATCTTCTGTTTTCTTCGTTTGCTTACTAGCTAGCTAGCATGTCTAGTCATCTCTATATGTATGTATAGTACGTAGCGTCGACCAAGCACGGACATAAGAGAAGACACTTCTCTCTATTAATTATAGCTAGCTAACACAATATATGAAACATCTAAATTAACCCCCCAAAACCCCCAACCCCCTTTTCAAAAAACAAAACAAAAACCCCAGCCACAGAAATGCTGACGCGTGGATACCTATTGGTCCCAGTTGGTGCCACCAACCGAGACCAAAGGCCCTCCTGCCTGGGCTCCGCGCACAGGCCACGTGGAGGCCCATCTGTACCGACCCTTTAGTCCCAGTTCAGGAACCGGGACAAAAGGCCCTTACGAACCGGGACAATAGGCCTTTTTCTACTAGTGGGAAGACAACTTATTTACACTAGTGTCTCAAAAAAAAACTTATTTACACTAAAAAAAACTGCAGAAGACACCCGTGCTTGTGGTCGGTTTTCTTTTACTATTTAGCAGCATGCGTCATGGTGATATAGTGTGCGATTCTTGTGGATCTCCTTTTTTCCACTTCCCTCCAGTGTGCACCTACAATGTTAATACTGCATTCAGTTCTTAGTTTCAGACTAGATACTTGATACTTGTCTAGATAACAGTATTTCATGTCTGGGGTGAAAACACTTATGCTGACCTTTATTGGTTGGGATCAGCAACGACGAATTTGTATTGTTACTTTGTTGAAGGTGTTGCCTGCCCGTTGTTGTGATGGGCTTCATTGGCTGGTCTCTACAACCAGGATGAAAATCCTTGTCTAGGCCCTCAGCGGTCGGACATGGTGACGTTTACCCCTTCCTGAAGGTGTTGCTCCAAAAGAAGTTAGCTTAGTTGTACATGTTTTTCATTTCTTGTAATAGTTCGGTCATGATAGTCTTGTTTTGTACTTTGCTCAATAATTAATAAAAATATGACCGTGTGCATCACAATGATGCGTGAGCCTGGGGTTTAACCTTCTTTTCAAAGAAAGAAACTAGTCTAGATAACAAATCTGTTCTGGATCTCTACCGCTTATTTACAAAGCATCCACCAAGAAAAGCTCAAAGGTGAGGGTTGAGGGAGGCCCTCCTTGAGGATGCTTGGGTCTCCAAGATGAAGATCACTGTCAACTTCTCTATGGCTAACCTTAGGCAATAAATTGCCTTTTGGCCTCTCATCTAAGATTATTATCAAAAGCGGGCATGGGAGCGGTTCGGATTCCTACAAAGCACCCCCCTTGTTTGTGTCCGGTTTGAGGGAAAAAATACGGCCGGACCGCGCTAAATGACTTCCGCGGTCCGGACAGCAGGGTATGAACGGATGCGGAGGCTTGACGGTCGGTGTTGGAGATGCCCTAATGAGATACACGAGAGCAACATAGATATTTCTGTTGTTTCATTGCCGTAATGCTAGTGACCAAAAGAGGGAACAGAGCAAGCAAGTTTTTCTTCCTTCGAGAAAACTTTCTATCTATTCATCAACTATCAAGGTAGTACAAAGAACACGAGAAGTAAAAAAAATACATCCAGGTCCATAGACCACCTAAGAAAACTACAAGCACTGGAGCGAGCCGAAGGCACGCCGCCATTTTCGCCCCTCCCTTATCGGAACCAGGCAAACCTTGTCGTAGTTGATAGTCGGGAGGTCGTCATGGTAAAGCCTCATAGGACCAGCGCACCAGAACATTAACCGCCGTCGATAAAGAAAAGTGTAGATCAGAAGATCCAACTTATAGACACACAAACACAGGCGAACGAAGACAGGATTCACCGAAGACAAGCGCCGAGATCCATCGAATACAAGCGCCGACCGAATGCTGTCGAAGATAGCACGCAAGTTGATCAACAAGTCCAGAGTAAACACGGTAGCAGCTTTGGATTACCGTAGCCGGATACGCGAGATCCAGCGCATGCCGCATTTCACAGAAAGGTCCTGCTAGATATGGTGCTCGTGTGTACGTTCGATGCCATAACGAATTGATTTCCTTTCTGAAGTTTGTAGCAGGTGCACTGGCACGGGTGATGGAGAGTCCAAAAGCGTCCAAACCAAATAATTTTGGACTGTCGCTGGCCTCTCCCACCTGCACTTGTCCGGCGAGGCAGAGGACACGAAAGAGGGGTGGCAAGAGTACAACGCAAGAGCTCCTTTTGGCCACACGAAACAAACAAACAAACAAAAGTGAGGGAGGGAGAGTATATGAAATGAACCCATACGTTACGCGGACAGAGAGAGGAGCCAAAAAACCAAAAGATTGCTTGGTCGCGGCCGCTGTCCCGTAGCGTGCTTCTGGGCGTCGCCCACTGGCTGTCTCGTTGGACGCATCGCAAATTCCTTCACCGGCCACCACGGCACCACCTACTCGTGTCGTGTCCCCGTCAAGGCGTCAACCGTGCTTGTCCTGGGAGGGAGGCTCTGATTTGTGCTTGTGCTTGGCAGCATGCGCCAAAGCGGCATGGCGTGAGATTCTTCAGGATCTTGTTTGTTCACTTCCTTCCTGTCCCGTGCACCGACTATCACTTTTTTTTTTTTTGCGGGTGCACCGACTATCACTTCTTAATTCTAGTATTAGATGCTAGTGCTTCACACTAGTCTACACACCCAATCAGGCTCGTGTTTGTTGGGATTAAACTTACTACGTGCATGCATGTGCCGTGTCTGCTCAGTGCTCATACTCATAGTACGCCCTCCTGTTTTGGTTCAGATTGATGCACACATTTTAGTTGTGAAGTGATATAACGATTGGGTCGTTTCGTGGCACTATCGATCTTTTTTTCAATCTTTCCACTCAATCATACTGTACAATATTGCTGCTCGAGACCCTGCCACTGGACGAAGAAGGGCTAAGGCCTTTTTGATTCAAAGGATTTTCATAAAATTTTTGAAGGATAAGAATCTTTCGGAATTTTTCCTGCGTTGATCGTTTGATTCGCAGGATTGAACCCCATAGGATTTTTTCCTACGGATTCATTTGAACTACATTTCATAGGAATTGTAGCATCCACTTCAATCTCTTGAAAAAAATCCTTTATACTACATATACTAAATCTAGACCCGTTTAAATTTTCTGGATTGTTTGACTTTTTTGGCAGTTTGAACTGGTAAATAGGGTGATGACACGTGCTATTTCGTTGGGACCTGGATGGGTAAGCTTCTGGGGTGCACGCTGCGTTTTCTGCGATTTAATTCCTGGTCAAACGTGGGCCCTGTCGGTTGAACACCGCTGTATTCTTGGCTGCATGCACGTGGTTCGTGGGGGTGGTTCAATCTGTCTTCCGTACGTGTCGCCGGTTGATTATGTGGACGTCTCCTGATGCTGTGATGCGTGTGTGCGTGTCGGTTTGGTTGTGTATGTGTTATTTTACTGTGCAGCCACGTTGTCAATTTGTTCAGATTGATATTCCTAGGTTGGCACGTGTGCAGTTTCCACAATTCTCGAGCGGTGCCGCTGTTGCCGTATTCTCTAGATGTCGCTGTTTAGGTGTATCGATCTGCATCATCTCCATCATCCGGGTCGTCCTCATGGGATCCGTGGGATAGTTATTGGGCGTAATGATCGGTGATGCCATGGTGCGTCCATGTCGGGACCTCGTGTGGGTGATCGTCTGTCCGATGATGATTTACTATGTGAGGGCCGTCCTGCTGTTCATCGTGTCGTTGGCTCTGCATCTACTGGTTAGTCCAGTCTCTATTTGGTCTGTTTTGTGTTAATTCTTTTATGCATTCACATCAAAGTAATTAAGGTATTTGCCTGGATGTTCCGTGTAGGGGTTCGAGGTCAGACTTCATCTGCTGCTGATTTGCGTCGACGGCACAAAGAGATCCGACTGGGAAACGTCCTGTTAATTGCGATGTTGGTGAGTATGCGTGGGTTCTTGCCTTGCCTGGTTTGGATTGGGTTGCCTGTACATGATTGATATGTACCTTCTCTATTCTTTGTTAATAGGTTGTGTTGTTTCTGGTTTGTTGCAGATCACGCGGAGCCGTTGTGTGCACTCAACCTTCTACTACTTTGTGTGTGCTATTTTGTATTACAGGTTATCAGGCTTAGATCTGCTTGCATATTCCTTCATTGTTTTGTGTCAGTTTGATATGAATACGTAGCCTACCTTATGTATTGGAAACTGTTGTTGAAACCGTTGCTGGGTGATGTCCAGTTCGAGGAATGGCTGCATTTGTGTTTGCATTCATGTGTTTATAGATCAATGTTAGTACTAACATATTGAGTGACATCACGTAATCTTGCCGATTTTTAATCTCATACTAGTAAGCTTGCACATGCAACGCACGTCTCTGCTAATGCTCTTTTCGAAGATAAATCCACTCCCAATCAAATACACCTTGTCTACATGTCTCGTACCACCGTATACTTATAGTTGTTGATGGTAGTATAAGATGACACACACACAAAAAACAGCCAAGGTAACATTCATCATATAGGCCCGAAACCATGTTTTCAGGCCCTCACATCTAGCAAGAGAGGTTCAAAGTTGTTTTATGTCATTTTTTTCATAACTTGTCTCCATATAAATAGAGGTCATTGATGGTACTTTCAAAGACTGAACATTTTGATTTATCACAAACTACATAAAATAGATATGTGTGAACACCATGTATTTTGGGATCAATGTTGCAACTTGCAAATTATACCTTTTCTCCCCAAGAAATTTACAAAGGTATGCATCAATGTTTGATTCTGCAATGTCAGATGCGAAGAAAGCACTCGTACATTTTCAAGGCAACATTATTTCCAATCAAACGTCATGCACATTGCCTGGCTTCTTTTACCCTGGAGATGAATTCATCCAGAGAATCTTGTAGACCATCCATCACATTGTTTTGCCGGCAATTCCAGTATGTACAAGTACAACACCATTCAACAGGGTGCACATGCACAGAAAAAGTAGAAGAGAAAGTTGGGAGTTGTACATTACTAACTGAAAATGATCTTTTATCCATTTTCTTAAAAGATTCCCTTATTGTTGATTCTTCTTGGTAAGTAAAAGTAGGAAGACAAGATTGTGGTGGAAGGTTTTCTTGCTTGTTCTCTCTCCCTGTGAACTGTAGGAGTGATAAAATGGTTTATTTTCCTTTAAGCAGTAAAATTTTACTTGAGCACACAAGTGAAAATATTTTAATTTAGAATCTATAAATAATGATACTGTTTGCTTTGGGCAAAAGGATTGCGAAGTATTGGTTGAGGCGCGGTCTGTATTTCATTTCTATGGTTCCACAAATGATAGAAGCAAAAATCTCTCATTAATTGATGGTCGGACTTCTTAGATTCAGGTAAGCTGAAAAATCAAAAAACAATCAAGGGAACACAGTATTTACTATTTTGAAAAAAAAAGAACGTCAATCTTGTTCACATTTAATGAGAGCAATCTCCAGTTCTCTCTAAGTGCTTAAAAGGCAGTGAAACATGTGTGAATGAAAAAAGAATATACATAATAGATATAAACTTTAACCGTTGGCTATGTTTGTTCACTTATATGATCACAATAAGTAAATGTATCTTGTTGTCCATAAATAAAGCAAAACATATCATGTGTCGAAGTATATGCTAATTATGAAATAAATGCCAATCATGTAATCAGATATGATAAGCACACAAGCAAACATAAATGGAATGACATGGCATGAAATCTCTAGCCAGGTTTTCTTTTTAATACCCGGAAGAAGAATCTGGCTGGTCTCTTTCAATTGCACCTCCAACTTTGTTCGGTGACAGCGACGTGGAGTTTGGACAAGATTCCCTGGGAGCATAAGAGAAATCGTGAATAAATTATTTTTACCTATGCAATAGTTCGAACATGCTCCTATTGATCAGTACTAAGATGAAGCCCTGCAATTTGGTGTTGCTACCTAAAAGGATAGCTAAAATGATCATCGAGAACATTCTACTGATCCTTCTATTTTCTGAAATGACATCAAGAAGTAACTTCATGGAATGGTATGACATTTCTAGTACTTAGGAATCTATTATCCTTTTCATTTTATAGGCATATATTCTATCACGTACAACCTGATCCTTCTGTTTTCTGTTCAAGAAAAGTGAACTCCAGTATGAATCTGATTTATCATCATCTTCTAATAGTAAAATTGAATTTTCAAGCAGTATAAAAGCAAGCATGACTAAAAGTTATTTTCAAAAAAGCATGACCAGAAAAAATAGGAACCGCAAACTATCTCAGAAAGATTCTTTTGAATTTGAATATTTTCAGCGCACGCTGACCTGCAACCCTATGTCAGTAAGCTTGTGCCAATTTATTTTCTAGGTGACGACCCAAAAAAGTTTCCATATCCAAAGAAATACTGGAAACATATTTTTGTTGTTAGATCCACAAAAGAGGTTTTCTATGTCACAAGCACTCCATCCATTTATCACTGTGAAGTGAAATAGTTGATGTACACACTTTTTTGACCTTCAAAAATTCCATGGTTTACAAAAAGATAGGATGATAAGTCAATTGATAACCAGAAAATGCTAAGAAAACATAGGTTTCATATAACAGTAAATGTTGATTTTTTTCCAAAGACTATAGATAACACTATTACTGTATCAGGGAGAAATTTACCGCAGACTTGTCTCTTCCGATGCTGCCTCCAACATCATTATATAAAACTCTAGTGGGGCTTGCACCAGATTTCCTGGGAGCAAAAGAGAAGTGAAGATAAATGTTTTATAGAGGTCAATAGCTGGCCCAACAATAACTTTGAAAAGGAAATTAATCAAAGTCACTTCAATTAGATTCGATCTGTTCGTACAAAGACACAAGAAACCTTGCAAATTGCAGTACAACCATAATATTAAGAGAAAAATATATTTTTCGCCCCTCAATTCTTGGAGGAGTCTAGATTTGATTCCTTGACTTCATACCTGCAAGAAGCAACACTTTTAGATAAAAATGATACTGCTTTGTTATTCTTTTGACATGTCATTCTCCATCAAACCATTTTGTACCCATTCTATGCTAGTTTTACAGATGTAAAGTGAAAAGGTGTATGAAAGATCTAACGAAGAGAGTCAAACTTTTGAATATAACTTCATGACCATCGTACAGTAGCAAGATGTTAAAATCACATTTGGAGTGCTAACCAACTCGAAAAAGCAAGCAAGTCTGTCTGTTAAACATGACAAAATGGTAAGAAATGTTAATAGTTTTAGAAGGTGTTAAAATCCCCTCTGAACATACATTAAGCGCACGGTTAATTATGCTACCAATTAGCCCCTAGAAATCTATACTGCTTCGTCCTCACGAACATTCCCCCTGCGCAACCGCCGCGCCATCGCTCCTCTGCCTCGTGCTACGTCCCAGGCCTCCACTCCTCTGCCCCGTTCTCCCAGAAACTATCAAAAGAATGAGAACTTGACATAATATGATTGAAACATATATAGTTGAGATTTCATTTGGCTACATTTTTGTGCGAATGCAAAGGAGATCTATCATATTTATGGGAATGTTCGATCTTTTTTGCAACTGCAACTAAATAAACAAATTAAAACTAATATATTTACAGGATCCTTCAATCTTTTTAGTCAATCCAACTAAAGCACATCATATCCAAATAGGAAGCACCCTAAAAATATATACTATAGAGAACCATCAAATGCAAATCTCTAACTTGAGCTGAAGGTCTAATGTCATGAGTGTACCAAGCAGAGCATTTATTTTCCAAGGAGAGAGGCTGCAGGGTGCCTTGTATGCATTAAACAAAAGAACAGTAGAAGATTTGTCTCAATAGGAAATATATATCACCAATAGATCTTTTATTGGAGGGGCAAAAGTTCTTAATATAGTGGGACACTCTGGAGCACTCCTGCCCATATACTTACGCAAGTATTGTTCTCTTTAAACATTTCTTATGCTAAAAAATAGATAGCCTCAGTTTTGCAAAACGCACTGCTTATCCTATATTCAGGTTCTGCTTGTGTGTGATGACCCAGTTTTGCACGTCTGAATTAATATATACTTAGTTAAACATATTAAAAACTCTGAAATTAAAATTTTTATATGATAAATCATAAAGAATATAATTGATAAATAATGAATTTCCTTGTCTTTTATATATTAATTTTACATAATCCTGCTGCCCCTTTCATGTCTTTTAAGAGAAAGAGTTAACAATTGAAAATCAGGGGTGGACCTAGACCAAAAACAACCTGATGTCACACTATGTAATCACATATAATTTTCAATAATGTCAGGGGTGTCGCACACTATATGTAGATACAATTTACAGAGAAAAATGTTTTTGACTCGGTGTCCTATGCACCCCCTTAGCATAACCGTAGGTACGCCCCTGTTGAAAACGACATTACAAAACAAAATATCTACTCTAAATGATCCATCAGTGGCATTAGATACAATGTGTGAAGAATTATACTCACAAAAATGTGTGACATATCTTTACAGGAATAGTTTTTAAAAGCTATATGAACCCATCTAAAAGAACACAATAACTAACTTAGCTTGAATCTTTGTTTAGTCCCAAACATACCCATTTTGCAAGAAGGCTTTAGTGAGGGCGCCCAGTATTTCCCTTGTGTCAGAATGTTTTTTGGAACTTCATGTGGTCAGGACATATATATAACAAAAGCTCACGAGCCAATTCAAACACAAAACAACTGTGTGAATAAAATGTACGTGTTAGACTGAGAAAATATTCTTCAAAATACTCAAAATCATGTGCATCGTATCATGATCTTCTCTATCTGCATGCATGAAAAACAGGAAAAGAGCTTCTACACCGATATCATCCTAATATAAATTGTATTGACTAATACTCAATTTTTTAGCGAACTTGCAACACCGCTGATGACCATCTAGAGGTCATAGGCCAATTGTATGGAGTAGCCACCTGCTAGTAGTTCATACTTGTTACCATGCTATATGCGCATAAACAAATGAAACAATTTTAGAAATGTGTCAAACGTGACAGGCATGTCGTTTCCTTTTATCATTCCCTTTTGGCAGCTTATTTATACAATGTAAATATAATGGACCGCCAACAGGGAAAGCTATCTGAAAGGAGTGTTTAAAAATTAAGATAGTACATAAAAAGTTTACAATTGTAATGTCCATGTTAG